TGCACTTTGTTAGCGTTAGTTTCCTTGTATCTATGCCTCCCAACAAAGGTGACATCCTGCCAGTGTCTAGCACGATGTGTTCAGTGTTCAAGTGTGTGTTGAATGACTCCATGGATTGATCCATCAGTTATATGACTCACTGATATCCCTTGGAGATTTCATAAAGAATATTCCTTACGACGAAAGATTTCCCAGCACTTGAGAGGCTGAGTCAGGAGAATCATCCTGAGTTTGAGATGAGCTGAGCTACAAAGTGAGTTCAAGTCCAGCCTGAAGTATGTAGCGTGACCCTGTCTCAAACAACAAAATACAAAACAAAACAATATTGATTTTTTTTTTTTTTTTTTTTTTTTTTTGGTACCGGGGGTTGAGCTCAGGTCCTTGTGCTTGTGAGGCAGGCACTGGAACCACTGAGCTAAATCACCAGCCCTACAATATTGAATTTTAACTGGGACCCACCAGAGAAATCCCCTAAGATGTCAGTGTCAAATATGCGTTTCTCCTCATCCACCAATTTTCCTCTTATGAGCCTTATGAGTCTTGTACGATTGTATTTATCTCTTTAACCACTAGGAAGCTCAGAGCTCATCTCCAGGAACCATGTAGAACCACCTGACATGGGCTGCTAGGTGCTGACCTTCTTCCTGTTTTCCTTTCAACGCATTTCCTCCACTCATTTGTTCTGTTTTAGTTCATGGTTATGGAAGTCATGCCAAGCTCTTTGCGGAACAAGTATAGAAATACAGAATGAAGGAAACCATGGATGAATCCATCAATCAGTATCTTTCAACTCCGTCATCTGACCTGTTTTTCAGACTCTTTGCCCTTCTGCCCACCTCAGCCAGGACTCAGGTGCGACGAGGGAGGCATCTAGAGTACAAGAGTTCAGGAAGGAAGGAAACCCTCACTCTCAGGACAGGGCATGTGCACTGCTGGCACTTGCATGGTCCTGAGAGTGAAACCATGTTTAAGAATGAGCCACCTAGCCACAGCCAGGTGTGGTGCCGCAGTCCTATAATCCCAGGACTCAGGAGGCTGAGGCAGGAAGATCACTGTGAGATTGAGGCCAGCCTGAACTACATAGCAAGACTCTGTCTAAAACAAACAAACAAAAAAGAATGAGCTACCTAACTAGGCATGATGATGCACATCTGTAACCCCAGCCCTCTAGGAGGCTGAGACAGGAGGACCACAAGTTTGAGCCCAGCCTATGAAACTGTTTTAAAATTTTAAAAAGGCTGGGGATGGAGGGGGAAGCTGCTTAGCACTGGCTGATCCTGAAAGAGCACTTGCTCAAATTTTGCACCCTCAGTCCAACTTGGTGGCTCACAACTGAAATTCCAGCACTCGGTAGGCTGAAGCAGGAGGATGGCTGCAAGTTCAAAGCCAGCATGGGCTAAATAGCAAGCTCAAGGCCAGCCTGAACTACATGGTGAGATCCTGTTTCAAAAAAGAAAAAAAAATATCGCATCCTCAGTACCTCTTGCCTCAGCCTCACAGCCCTGCAGTTCACAGCGCACACCTTTGGGACCTGCTCCCATCCACCAAGCTGCCCCCACTCTTGGGCTCTCAGAGCCGAGGAGCCCCTCCCTGTTGGAGCTGTGCTCTACCCTCGGTGCCCAGTGAGACACCAGCTCTTTGGGCCATCGCCTTACTCTGTTAGCTCATAAATAAAACCCCAGGTCCTCTGCACAAGAGCATCAGGTGCACCAGGTCTTCCCCATCCTTTTCTCAGTTGACACTGAACCTGCAGAGAAGGACCTCAAAGAGCACTGCAGGAGCGCGAGGAGTCAGAGCCAGAGAGGAAACGGGTCAAGAGATGGGGGAAGTTAGCAGGTTAGAGAGGCGCGGGCACAGGGGAGAAGGCCTCGGAGAGGTAAGTTAGAGACAGGGTTGGAGCGATGGAGTCCAAGGGATGGACATGGGAAGCGCATGGGAGTGAGGGCGAGGAGTGGACCTGAGGCTTGGGGACCTGCGAACGTGCAACCGAGCAAGGTCCTGAAGAGATGAGGTTGGGAAAAGGAGGAACTCAATGCACGTAGGGCTTGGAGCAGAAAGAGCCACTGAGGCAGACAGCTCGGGGAGATGGAGCCAGGCCGTGAGGACAGGGGAAATCAAGACTGTCAGGGAAGATCAATTCACCACAAACAGATCTCTCTGGCCTGGGCTTTCATTTCATTTCTTACTGGGTCTCGGCTGAAAGAGAGAGGGCATCAAGCTCGCTTTGTCTTTCCACTTTCCACCTCTCTGTACCAGGAATAACTGGGAGGGAGAGGGGCTACCACTGCCACTCTGGTACCCAAGATCCATCTCTCCACCCTTGGGCTCACGTGAGGCTCTGGTGATGGGCAGAAGGTGCTCTTCGCCTGCTCTGGGGTTCGCCCGGAGTCAGGATCCAGCAACCTATGTGTATGTTCTCTGGACAGCATGCCCTGCACCGGCTGAGAAGGTGGGTGGAAGCCAGGAGGGTTAAAGAAGTGGGGTCTGGGCTGTCCGTGGCCTCAGTGTTTCCAGGTAGGGTCGGGATGTAACCACAAGAAAGGGCAACGCCAGGATGAGGAGGCTGAACTAAGTTTGCAACGAGCTAAGAAAAGAAAATCGTCTCCAGTGAAATCATGAGGTCCTCAGCCAAGAATCTTCACTCTACAGAGGAATCCTTGTTAAGAAGTAAGCCCTGCTCAGCAGCTGTGCTGTGTTCACTCCACCCAGGGAGAAGAGGAAGCCTCCTGCCTCAGCTGTCCAACCCCCTTCCCTGGCTGGCCGGGGTTTCCCTTCACCACCCTGAGGCCAGTAGGGATGGGGCCCTTTGGGGGAGGAGAAAGGGAAGGAGGTGCCTGGGCACAAAAGGGTGGGACTAAGAGCAGGAAATGAGCTGGGAACCACCATCACCTCCGTCTACTGCAGGCACAGCAGAGAAAGGGACAAAGAGGAAATGACAGATTGGGGTGGGGTGGATTGGGGAGAAGAATCGTGTCCTTCTCTGTAAAAAGCTCAAAAGTCCAAAAACAAGCTGGGCTGGGCAGCCAGGGTACATGGATTCAACTTCAAATCAAAGTAAGATACGGTTTTGAGTGGCTTCTCGATGTCATGGTGGTGAGCCCAGAGAGGTCCCTGGTCCTGCTGACTCCTACTTCGCCAAGGTACCAGAGGGAATGAGCCAGGTGATCTCCACATCCAGGGCCCACACCCATCCTCTTTTGCAAATTCCAAGCGAGCCCGCAGCCTTCACTTTCATCTCCCACTCTTTCGGCAGCCTCTCCCCCTGCCATCTACCATGAGCCTGTTTCTCCTTCACATGGAAAGGGTCAGAGGACCACAAAAAACAAAGAAAGAAGCCATCGCTAGCCCATACCTTCCTGTGGCCCACCGAGGCAGCAGAGCCAGGTCCTTATCCCTGGGTGCATCTCCAGCTAGAGTGTCCCTTCCTCCTCAAGTGCCACCCTCAGGCTTTTGTGGTTGGGGCCCAAAGCGTCTCCGGTTTCCTTTCATTCAAACCAAGCACCGTCCACTGTCCCTTCAGCTCCTCCTCTCCCGACCTGGTCACCTCAGCTCCACCATCCTCTGCCTCATCGTGGTGCCCTCCCCTCTGTCTCTCCCACCTCTCCTGAGTTTCCAAACTTCCATCCACTCGGCTTGATGACCACCCCATCTCCAGAAAGTTACACGGGGAGCCACTCGCCTTCTTCTGAGTCACGTTTCCTGTTCTGCCTCCTCATGGGTCTTGGGTAGTGACTCTGGGCCACTGCCCCTTCCCCAAGAGCACCTAGAAGCTGCTTCTGTCACTCAGACAGCCGCCCACCCGCCCACCTTGAGGTGGCCTCCTTACCCTCCTGGCCTGACTGCTGCAGGTGCTCCTGCAGGTCACACCCAAACACCCGCTCCTTCGAGTTGCCCTTCTTCTTTCCTTTCTGCCGAGACTTCATGGCCGGAGCCCCAGAGCCCCGTTTCCAACCACCTCTGTCCCGCAAGACCTTTGCCCTACCAGTCCCCCATGGGATCCCCGCCAGTTACTGGGCTTGGCCAGGGCCCAGGGGGCAGGGCTCCAAAGTAGGGGTGGAGGGTGGCCTGGGCAACAAACAGCAGCTCCTGCCTCTGGGGCCCAAGCTACACGGAAGTGGCTGTGGAAGAGGAAGCTGCCAGGACCCTAGCACAAAACCGTGTCTCGTGGCCCCGCCAGGCACTTGCCTTCTGGCCCTGCACAGCTCTAGGGGAGCAGGAAGCTGTGCAGCTCCTCAAACCCGCTTCCTGTTAGAGCATCTTTGTAACCACAGGGCCCGGGGTGGGGGAGGTAGCTGACATTCACATCCTCACCCCGGGGCTGGGGCCTTGCCCATTGGTCGAGGGGAGGTGATGTCTGAGCTCTGGGTGGGGTGATGGCTCCTGGCGTGAGAGCAGGTGACTGACATCTCCAGAGACCAGAATTCTCAGGTCCGGCACGCAGACCTGAGGTTTGCCTGGGAGCAGGTGGCACACGGGCTGTACAAAGCTCAGTCAGGTGGGAACTGCCAGGCTCTAACTCGATGTGCCTGTCACCTCAGTCAAGCCATAGCACTTCACGGAGTCTCAGTTTCCACACAGGCAAATGAAGAGGGGGACTAGATGATTTTTAAATCCTTCTGGCTCTGACAATCTGGAACTCATTTAACTTGAGTTTGTTTCTTTATCTCTAAAAAGGTCACACTGCTGTCTTCTTCACATAGCTATTACAAGTTGTCAGTGCAATAAAAGATTTAAAACATTTTCCACACCAAGCCATTGGTTGTTGGCCTGTGGAGGTGAGAAGTGGAGAACCTTCCCGCCCAGCTACAGTCACCCTCTCCTCTACCCTGCTTGGTACTGATGTAGAGCACAGCGCTCCAGGCTTACGTGGCAAAAGGGGCAAGAGAGGAGCCAGACAGAATAGGTTTTATCTGTTTATTTAAAAACAGAATATCATTTTATGTACAAATATGCACATATTTACACAAAATGTACATACTAGAATCTCAGATCTTTGGGTTTCCCATTCAAATTCCCAACTTGGCCAGGGAACAGGGGATGAGAGTCTCTCATTTAGTCCAGAAATCCAGCAGATTTCAGGCTATGAAGGACTGGGGCACTAAATCTCAGTATTCTGGCTGAGAATATTTGGGTGAGCCAAATAAAAATAAACATCTAACTCCTGCCCTCATCCAAAGAAACTGCCAGAAAAGCCCTGAATCAATGACCTGGAACCCCTGAGGAGAAGGACACGCCCCAGCACCTCTTTCCTCTTGTCTGAACGCACCCTCCCTCGCTGTGTAATCAGTGCCCTCTCTTCCCTACACCACTGAACCAGGACTGCTTGCCAACCAAGTTCCAGCAACTCCTGTAGGGACCACAATCATAGCCACAACTAAAAGAAAAGAGGAGAGAGAGAGATAAAAGGCTAGGGGAAGAGTTGAGAGGTCCTAGGATAAAGGACCTCCCCCGGCCCCCTCTTACCCGGTAGCCACAAGGCTCACACCTCTAAACCCAGAGACTGACAGCTTTCAGCGCCCCCTCCCGAGGGCCTGACTAGATTAAGATGCTTTGGGAGCACCTCTCAGTGCCGTGGGGGTCAACCTTAGGCTGGGGTGAGGGTTTGGGTGGGGTCCAGCTCTGCTGAGCGCCTACATAGGCTGCCCTTGCTTAAGCAAGCCCAGGAATAAACGTGCAGATAAAGTAAAGGTCTTGAAAAGTTGTTGCTCTTATTGAGGGAGGCAAAGCAGTCCTCTGCAAGCTCCCCGAAGGCTTTTTACACTGAGTATGTACATGCAGCAGGCCCACAGGCCACCAGAGGGCACAGGGCTTCTTTGTAAAGTTCCAGCCTCTGTCAGACCCCCCCGGACGGTGGCTTCACACTCGCCCAGTGGCTCTCGCGTGGTAGGAACCCGGCTCCCCCACTTAGGAGGCCAAATTCCAGCTCCAGCTGTGCCCGCACACCTGGATGCGGCCAATGTCTCCACTTCTCACCTCCAACCTCTGCGTCATTAATACTGCTCTGGGGTCTGAGGAAAATACCTGCTTTTGCAGGCAGAGGTCACATGCAGCCACTCGAAACACAAACCACGCCCTGACAGCCTTCCCCTCACAATCATTGGAATCTGGCAACAACATGCCACCATTCACTCTAATCGTGACACAAGCCAGCACAGCAGGATACATAACACAGAAGTCACTCCGCTACACATGCACACACGATCAGTGAACACACAAGCAAAAGCACACAAAAGCGTGTGCACACACACACACACACACACACTCTCACACCGTGACCTGTACTTATGGTGGGAGGGATTCTACTGTCGAAGCCATCCCAGTGAACAGAAAGACTGGAGGAAAAGGTCGAGCAGTCGGTGGGGTGGGGAGCATCTTCCTCAAGAAATACGGGCATTTTAGGAGGCCCCCCAAGATGAGTGGAATCCCCTGTGTCAGCAGAAGGAGCCAGTCTTAGGGGAGGAGGCAGGCCTGGGTCAGACCAGGTGCCCCCGCCCGTTGATGTAGATGCCATTGCCTGTGGGCTTGGCCCGGAGGGTCCCATTCTCTTGAACAAAGTGGTTCATGGCCTGTTTGATGCCTTCATCCTGGTCTTCCTCTTCCTCTACCCGCCCAGATCCTGGAGACAGCAGTTCAGTCTGTGTTTCGATCTCCCTCACTGTGGTCAGTGTGGAGTAACTGCGGCCCTCTGGCTCTTCGCTCTAGAGGCCAAAAGCAGGACAGCTCAGAACCAAAGCAGGTGGCCGGACAGCAGGGTATGGTTGGGGGCTCGGGAGGGTCAGAGGACAGGCCAAGCAGGGGTAATGGTTGTCCCAGCAGCACAGGGCTCAGAGATCAGGGCCCAGGCCAGGGCACAGGGGAGGAGTCCATCTCTGGGGAAGCAGAGCAGAGGTGGGGGTTGGGCCCCAGAGCCAAGGCTGAGGTGTGAGGGGTGACGGGCTCGTGAGGGGGCTGCTGACACACCAAACCTGGGGCCAGGAGAGGGGCCTGAGGAGAGTGGTGGGGACACCAGTGGGGCCGGGGGCCTCACCATCACAGAGCAGCTACTGTTGTCCTTGAGACTATCAGGGTGGCCCTCGGCTCTCAGCCCTACACTCTCCTCCGGCTGCAGGGCCCAGACATGCGGGAGGAGTTAGAAGAGAGCTCAGCCTCCTCCCTTCAGCCCCTTCACCTCTCTCCTGCCAACAACCTCCTCCCTAACCAGCTTTTCCCCACCGCACAGGTCCAATCTCTCCCTGATACAAACATCCTCCACTGCCACCCTAAACCCACCCCAGAACCAGTGCTGTGGCAGATTCCCAGAGCAGCCCCCAGGCCAGTGCTGAAGGGAGCAAGGAGCCCTAGCAGACCCAGAGCACTACAACCCGCAACCGGACCCCAGCCCTGCCTCTGACGCAAGTCAGTGGCCGGACCTGTGGGAGGACTGTGCTTCTGTCAGTTGGCAGAGGGGCCCAGGCACAAGCAAACCCCCAGTCTTGATACGAACCTGATTCCTGGGGTCCGAGTGATGGGAATGCAGCCTGCGGATGGAGTTCTCCCTGGTCAGGGTCAGCTCCTCCTCACTGGGAAAGACACCCCTTGTCAACTGAGGGCGGTGGTAGCCTCCCAAGGCGAGCCTAGCCTGGCTGAGCCTATGTAAAACAGGGCTGGCAGGGTGTGGGTGCCCTGCCAGCCCTGCAAGTGGCACATGTGTGCATGGCTGTGGCAGCCAGGCCTGCGGGTCTGATCTTCACTGAGGCAGTGTAGTTCTGCTCAACCAGCTTTGGTCCAGGCCCGAAGTCCCCTCTCACCTCCTGCCAAAGCTCGGCCCACCTCTGGCCTGTAAGCTCCCCATTGTCAGGCCACCTGTCTCCTCTCCCTCCTCCACCGGGCCCCCTTGCCCTCTTTGTGTTCTCAGCGCAGCTCTGCCCACCCAGGAGCAGCCGGTACTCACTACTTCTGGGTCATCTGCTGGGCCTTGCGCCGGTGGTATCTGGACATGAGCACCACCACCACCACCAGGAGGCAGAAGAGGAGCGCGGCGATCACACCCACCACCACCACCGAGGCCGACACCAGATCCACCTGCTTCCCGGGGTCCTCGGGGTCTGCTGCAGACAGGCCGATGTCTGAGGTGCCTGCGCAGATCCCTGCCCGGCCCAGACCCACTGCCCACCTCCACCTTCCTCACACAACACCCACAACCACCTGCTCAGCTCACCCTCTGCAAAACACACCACCGTCCAGCCTCTGCCAAATAAACTTCCCCCATTCCCAACTCTCTGTCTTGCCTCCTGTGGCCCTCCCCAGACCTGGCCCACGTTCACCCCCTTGCTCACCAAGAACATCCACGGTGACCTGCGAATCCCTGGAGGAAAGCTCATTGCTGACGCGGCAGACGTAGATGCCACTGTGCTCAGTGGTCAGTGGGGGAAAGCCCAGAGTGCCCCCTTCCACTCGCGCTCCAGTGGGTAGAGGCCCATCCAGCCTGGAGGACAGGGAAGCTGAAGGGCGCCGGCTAGAGCAGGCCGAGCTGCCACCACCCAACATGCCCAGGCAGCCCTCCACCCCTCTCGCCCCTGACGTCACCCGGAGCCGCCGGCTGTTCCCACGGTGCCCCACCCTCCCCCAGGCAGGTCTAGGCAGGGGCCCCTTCTCCCTGCCCAGCCTGACCAGGGCACCCCACACACACTCAGGGGAGATCCACATGCGTGCCATCCCATATGCTCCCACAGCATCACGTCATCGGCACTGGGTACCAGGTCCCCAGAACAGGGCACTCTGCTCCTAGTTGAGCCCAGAGTTCTAGGAAAATGTGGCTGTGTGCTCCAGCACAGTGGTGCCGACAGCAAGGTAACAAATCTAGCCTCAGGCACAAGGCCACATGCATCGCTCATATGCCCACACAGGAGGACATGCTTAGCATGGGCTCACACACATGTGCGCCCTACCTCTCCCTGATTCTCCAGACATCTCAGGCCTTGGAAAAGAGCCAAGGACTCCTGAGGTAACTGACAGAGGTGGGTGGCTGTTTTTGAGGTGCTTGCAGCACTGTGGTGGTTACAGGAGTGCTGGTGCAACAACAGTTACAGACAGCTGGCTTTCTGTCCCACTCACTGTATACACCCACATAAATGCAAAAAATGTTAACATTTAATGTTGTGTTACATTTCACTTTTGGTGTTATTGGGGATTGAACTGAACTACATCTCCAGTCCTTTTTAAAATTTTTCATTTTGAAGGCGGGGGATTTAGCTCAGTGATTCTGCCACCTGCCTCGAAAGCACAAGGTTCTGAGTTCAATCCCGATACCAAAAAAAAGGAAAAGATACAAAAATTTTTCATTTTGAAATAGGATCTCACTAAGTCTCTAAGTTGCCCAGATTGGGTTTGAACTTGTTATTTTCCTGTTTCAGCCTCCCAGAGTGCTGGAATTATAGGCGTGCATGACCATACATATGCTAGTATTTTTGGCGGGGGTACCAGGGATAGAATTCAGGACCTTGCACTTTCGAGGCAGGTGGTGGAACCACTGAGCCAAACCCCTAGCCCCAATGTGCTAGCGTTGGTAGGAACATGTGCCCCGATTTATCTAGCATTCAGAATATGTGGTCCCAGCCCAAATGAGTACCTCTTAGCCCAGAGAGAGAAGGACCCTTGTCCCAAGGTAGGCCTTCTCCAGACCCAGGCCCTTACCGTGTCCAGTTGTATGAGGGAGGCGGCTGCCCCTCACTCAGGCACTTGAGCATAGCGCCCTCTCTGCCAACATGCCACAGCTTTTGGTCCTCCAGGCCCCGTACAGAGGCCTCTGCCAGGACTGCAATGGAGGCAGGAGAGAGAATGGGAACAATGCTTTTGACCATGTGGGTCCTCAGAAGGTGCCCACCCTGTACCCCAAGCTCCACCCTGCATGGAATTGCCTCTCCCTCCCCTTCTCAGCCCACTTATCTGCTGCCAAACCTAACTGGACTCACCTTTCTGATGGCTCCTGGCCACGTGGTTCCCTCCCCCCTCCAAGCTCAGTCTATACTGGTTCACCTGTGCCACAAGCCCAGAAGTCCCGTGTCACACTTTTTTCTGGATCTCCTGTGGTGCATAGCACAGTGCTAGTTACAGAACAGGTGTTCCATCAGTGCTGCCACATTCTTCAAAGGCCTAACAACCCTGCTAGTTCATTCACCCCCATGCCACTCCATTCTAGGAACTGAATCCAGGGCCTTCTCACAGGCGTACATCCTCTCTGTGTGTGCGTGCGTGCGTGTGTGTGTGTGTGTGTGTGTGTGTGTGTGTTTCTTTAAGACAAGTTCTTTTTTTCCATTAAGTTTATTGGTACATTTAAAGCAAACGATACAGTTACATTTATCATTGGGATCTTGTACCTTTACATGATATGCCTTGGTTAAGGCAAGTTCTTGTGCTGGGCATGGTGATGCATACCTGCAATCCCAGCACTCAAAAGACTGAAGCGGAAGGAGCGCCACAAGTTCAAAGCCAGCCTGAGGTACATAGTAAGTTCAAGGCCAGGCTGGACTACAGAGAGAAACCCTGCCTCAAAAAACAAACAAACAAAAAACAAGGTCTTGCTAAGCAACCCATGCTGAACTCCTACTTGTGATCCTCCTGCCTCAGTCTCCCAGTGCTGGGATTTACAGGCCTATGTCACCACACCTGGTTTGTTAATTCATTCCCTTAAAAAAATCATATGTTGAAAACCTACTCTGAAGACTTCCAGTCCAATGCTAGAATAGTATGAGCTGAAAATGCTTCTATCCCCCAAAGTCTTGAAGTCTAATGCTGAAAATACAGTTCTACCACCTCTTGAGTGCCTCCTCTGCTTTGAGCAGTGTGAGATATTTTGCATTCTTGGCTGCTAATTCCCATCAAAATCCTGTAAAGTTAGCATAATTACACTCATTTTGCTGATGAACAAAATGAAGCCTAACAAGATTAAATAACAGCTGGGAAACAGCAGAATGAGGACTTGTCCCAAGCCTGTCTCCAAACCCTAAACTGTATTTTGCAAAATTTTTTCAATTCCATATTTATATTTGATTCTCCCAACACTGTGAAGCAAGGCAATCTCTTCTGCAAAGATAAGGACAGTGGCTGGTTGTGGTGGGACAGGACTGTAATTCCAGCACTCTGGGAGTCTGGGAGGCTGAGGCAGGAGGAGAGCAAGTGTGATCCCTATGTGAGCAACTAAGTGACTTAATAAGACCTTATCTGTGAATAAAAAGGGATTGGGTATGTAGCTCAGTGCAAAAGCCCTGGTTCAGTCCTCAGTACTGTAAAAAGAAAAGACAAAGACTGAGCTTGGAAGAGCTAAGCAATTTTCCAGGGTCCCCTGGGATTGGGCTGCAGGTTCCACACCTTTGGACAACTGCTCTCATACACGAAGCCTGCACAGCCCAGCTGGCCAGCCTGCCCCGGTGCCAGGCCTCACTAACAGCGTCTCACTAATTCTTTCGGAGCCCATTGGGCCCCCTAGCCAAGCATCTAAGTACTCACAGGCCACTTGGAGGGTGTGGGTGATCCTTTGGTCCTGGAGCAGGCCAGGGTGGGATACCACGCAGGTCAGTGGTTGCCCGTTCATGCTGCGACTAGGCACCAGGTGGAACTCTGACGTGACAGCGGCTGAGCGAGAGTGCTTGAAGGAGCGGCTGGATGCTGTGCCTTTGACCTCTGTGTCCCAGGTCACACTGGGGGCTGGGCTGCCCTCAGCTGTGCAGGAGGCTGCCAATGTCAGGCCCTGACCCTCTTCCAGCGGTGGGCCAGGGTTCAGTGAGGGCAGGGGAGGTACTGTGGATGGGGACACAGGGGTCACAGATTAGCACAGCCCCTGCCAGGAGCCCCCCACCTCCATTCCAGCCTTTCCAATTGGAAGCCCCCTTTTCTTTCTCTTATTTCACCATCAAAGACACCAGGTAAGTGGTAGAATTCCAGGTGACTTTGCCTTTTTCCCCATTATTTGAAATTTTTTACAATGAGCATAGGTCATTTTAAAAAATAAAAATAACAAAGCAATTTAAAAACTAACTAGATATTATCTATATAATAATAATAATAGCGCCATTTACTAAGCACTTACTATGTTCCAGCTACTATGTGAAACACTTTACAAATGTTATCTCATTTAATTCTGTCAACAAACCAGTGAGATAGGCATTATTATCACTCTTTTCAAGTGAGGAAATGAAGGCGCAGGGAGGTGAAAATGACTGGCTCCAGGTCATCAGCTCTTAGTTGAGGAAGCCTAGAGTCACACTCAGGTTTTTCTACTTCAAAGCTGATATTAGCAACTTCCCTGTAGATAAAGGGAACCAATACAGCCCTTTCATTTTAGCTTCAAAATATTAACAGCCAGAGAACAGAATGTTAAAGACCTCACATAACTAAAAGTCCAGCTGGGCCATATGCACTGATGATGCAAAGGAGCACTTTTTTTTTTTTTTTTTGGCACTGGGGATTGAACTTGGGTTCTTGTGCTTGCAAGGCAGGCGGCAGCACCACTGAGCCAAATCCCCAGCCCTAAGGAGCACTTTCAAAGGCGACTGTGATCTCAGACTATATTCTCCGAAGGTCCGGACCAAGGAACGATTAGCCTCACCAGTCACGTGTGGCCCTAGGACAGCTGGGGCTCGTGCCCACATTGCAAACCCCACATTTTCCAGCTATGGAGTCCAGGATGGTGAGGGAGTGTTTGAATCAATGGCTTTGTGGAAATGTGGCGGAGCAATCCTCGTAGCTAGGAAAAGAGCAGATTTGGATGCAGTACAATGAAGGTCCTCAACTCTTTGAAAGGCCCCTGCTAGGTTTCTCCAGAGGGCAAAAGTAACATAGGGAGATTTCAGGTTATCAGAAAGAAGAACTTGCTAGGAAGTGGATTCCTCCCCAACTTCGAGGGTCAGTTGGAGAGAATTTCTGGACTGGGGGGAAGGATGGGTGGGTGACCCTCCCTGTCGCCTACAGGACCCCACCTTTTGCTCCTGTTCTGCCCCTGCCTCATCTATCTCTGCAGTCTCCGTCTGTCTCTGCTCCTCTTGCCTCCAGAGATTCTCCCCTCCTCGACCTGAGCGTGGGGCCCTGGCACAGCGGCCTGGACCGTGCCCAGCAGCCCCACTTACCCAGCACACGAAGCCGCAGTCGCGCCTGGAAGCTGCCCGCGGGGAAAGTGCTCACGCGACACTCGTACTCGCCCTCGTCCGCTTGTACAGCGTTGCGCAGGAGCACCGAGCCATCCAGCGGGTCCCGTGGGGGTGGCGGTTGTTCCACGCGGCCCTCGTAGGCCGAGCTCACGTGTAGCCCATACTTGGAGTGCAGCAGCGCCAGCTCCCCAGCGGCCTCGTTTGCGTCCACCCGAGCCCACGCCACCTGTGCCACCTGCTCGTCAGGGTCCCCTCTGTAGATGCAGGGCAGGTTTGCATCCTGGCCCAGCACCACGGTCACTAGGTCTGAGGTCTCCAGCTCTCCCGCCCGGCATCGACCTGCGGGGGGCAGACAGGAGCAGCCAGGTTTAGGGGACCTGGTGGAGGAGCCAGGGACGCACTCATCATAATGACAGCAAAGCCAGCCGAACTAGTGGAGCGTTTTATGCTTGCAAAGCGCATTCAGTTCATTACCTCATTAGATCCACAAAACATTCGCAAGAGGTAGGCGTTATTATCCCCATTTAACAGATGAGGAAACTGAGATTCAGAGAGAGGAAGTGGCTTGCCTAAGGCCACACAGGCAGGATTTATGGAAGGCTTACATCCTCCTGCAGCCTAGGATTGAATCCTGAGTTGTCTGCAAGAGGGGAGGCTATAATAGGACCAGAAACCAAGCTCTACCCTCAGGGAGCGCACAGTTCCTTGGGCAAACGGAACTGATGCAAACAGAAACAGAACAGCCGTGAACTAACTTTCACAGCAGGTTTAGCCTCCCAGTGGGATAAAAGCAAATGCTTGCAGGACATACGGCCAGGAGCCCCGGCAAGTGTCCAGAACCACTGGTGTCAGGGATGGGCCACACGGGAGGAAAGGGGCCATGCCAGTCGGCCCTCGGAACATTCTTCTCATGGCTTGTGAATGAGAGCCCTGGATTCCCAGGGGGAAGGAGGTATTCTATGTGGGAGGAATGGCATGAACCGGGACTCAGAGGCAGGAATGAGCAAGTCACCAAAGACAGAAAGGCCCCCCGGTCAGAGGCTAAAGAGATGAGGTCAGAGAAGACACAGCGACAGGGCTAGGGTGCCAAGATCAGAGCCCTGGGGGGCGAAGGAGCAGTGTTCTGCATGCACGTTGACAGACAGCAGGATGAAGCCCTCAGGGATCTCAGAATCAGAGATGCCCATCATGTGACCTTATCTGCAAATGTGCATCTGGTCCCTGCCCTCATGAGACCTGTGGTCTGGACAAGAGGGAGAGGTGCAGAGGAACCCCTAGTGGTGGGGTCTGACTTAGCGCTTAGTGGTGCATTGCAGGCCAGGGTATGCCGAGGCTAGAAGGGTTGGGAGAGGAGAGACCCAGAAAGGCATTCAGGGTAAAGGAACAAGGTGATCCAATGGCTGATTCAGGAAGCAGGAGGAGAGGACCCAACCTAAGGCAGGGTGTGTGTGCGCTGAGCAGAAATGGAAACTATGGCTGGGGTGGGGTGGGGCCAAATTGTCCAGGACCATCCATGCCAGGAACAGGGATTCAGATTCGGCCAAGGGGAACTGGGGAGTCATCTAAGTTCCCTTAAGCACCAAGTGGTGTGAGGCCAGTGGCAATGTGCAGTCTGGGCAGAATGCACACTGACTGTAGACAGGACACTCACCAGGAGCTGCAGCTCCAGCCCGGGCACAGTGGTGCTGGGGCAGAAAGGAGGGCACAGCTCCTGGAGAACTTTGACAGGGATTTGGTCATTGACTACAAAGAGAGATGAGGGAGAGGAGAGACTCAAAGACAGTTGCATTTTCCAGGTGGGTAATTTGTAAGGGAGCAGAGCCTGGGGCTAGAAAGAAAGAAATGTGGAGTCCAGGAGTAAAATGGGAACCACAGGGCCAGGGGCTGGGTCAGAGGGCAAGGCTGCTGTAGACCAGCAAGAGCTCCTCAGTGACCCCATCGGGTTGTAATCCCTGCCTCTGCCCAGCACCCCAGCTGTTCCTCACCTTTGCTCAGACTGTGGCTGCCTGGAATGCCCTCCTCCCTATGTCTGGTAGCTCCTACTCATCATTGTCTGGAGAACTCCTACTCACACCTTAAGACTCTGCTTAGGCATCACTTCCTCCTGGAATCCTCCCCCTACCACACCCCGTGGCAGCCTTGGGTGCCTGTCCCTGGTGCTCCCCTGGCACCCTACTTTTACTACACCATAGTACTTTATCCCACAGATTGTACTTGCTGTTTTCTTGTCTGCCCCCTCCACCAGAATGAGCTCTAGGAGTAGGACACAGGCTCACCCATCACATACGGAAACCCGGTTTCTGATTTCATGCTCAGTGGTATGTGCTCTCCGCTCCCACCACTTAACTGGTGTTTAGTGCATGTTTATAGAATGCGTGAATGACGAATGAACGGCAAAGGAATGAGTGAGCAAGATGGACAGAAGGAAAAGGTAGGCTGAGGAGGAATGAGCAGTTCTTGTTGGGGCCAGCGGGGAGGGTGGCGGCATGGCAATCTTAGGGTGGAGGCACGATAAGCTGGCTATTTGGGTTCACAGCCAAAGGGAGCACCTCCGAACTAAACAGGGGAAGAAAGGACAATAGAGGGACGCAGGCATGGAGGGAGGAAGTGAAGCACAGAGGGGACCAGAGGGTTTCATTCAAGCAGAGGAGGGGTCCTGTGCCTTGCTACCAGCAGGAGTGGAGGGAGGGAGGACGCTGCTGGGATCTGGGAGGGCCCGGACTGGACGGGACAGACCTGCAGGGCCAGATGCCAGGGCCCTGACCTGACTAAGCTGATGATGGTCCCACCCTGCCCAGACTGGGAGTCCAGCTAACCACTTGCACCCCTCCCAGGCTTCTTTTCCTGGCACTGGAGGGTGCAGGGCTGCCAAAGAAGGGTTGGGGTGGACTTGGGATGGGAGCCCCTCCAGCACATCCTCTGCTTCAAACACTGGTATTTATTCAGGCCACTTGGTCCCAAGCCATGCCCACTGGACACTCCTTCTTCTAAAGACGACTACTTGGGTGGGGTACTCCCCTCCCCGTCCCCTCCCCATGTTCTCCAGTCACCTGCCCCTCCTCACCACCGATAACCCATATTTCCTCCAGAAGGTACTCTTCTTAGGGCACAGCAGAAATTGGGTACCAAGCACCTGTCTGAACCCCAGCTCCTTGTACTTATTTATAAAGGCCCAAGATCCCCACTTCCAAGGGACAAGCCCAAGCTTTGCAGAATGAAGAGCACAGTAAAACAGGAAAGTCCCCTCCGGATGTCTCCTATAGCCCCTTATTGTCCTAAATCCACTGTTTAGTAGGAGCATCTTAGGACGAGGCTACACCCTCCCCTGTCCATCCAATGGGCTGCAGAGTAAGAGGACCTCGCCCCAGAGCCTTTGTCCTGGACTAAATGGACCCAGGAGCCCAGGCTCACAGGCCAAGGCAGGCCAGTACTGCCTCCTCCTCTCCCCCACCCAGTACCTGCCTGGCGTCAGCACGATGATGTCACCAGACTGCAGGAGACACAACGCCCGCCTGATGAGGTCACCCTGAGGGCACGTGGTGGCCAGGCTAGGCCAGGTCCTCGGACCCTTCTCCTGCAAACCTGCTGGTGGCCTCTCTAGCTAGCTGGGTTATTCCTCCTCCTGACCATCCCCACCCTCCTCCCAGGAGCACCAGGACGCTGGTCAGGAGCCTTGGTGACTCAGAAGCTGCCACACAGCAGCAGGCCTAGCCACAGCCGCCACCACCTTGCGCAAGGAGAACAGGCCCAACTGGCCGGACGGGATCCCTGCCCTCAGCCTCCCCCACCCCTGGCCAGGCCCCCTCAGGCCTCTTTGGGGCCCTGCCCTTTATGTACCCCGCCCGCTCCCAGACAGGCCCTCCATTCCTGGCCTGGGCTGACTGGCTGCACCCCACCCTGGGTGCCTGGGTCCCAGCTTTCCTTTCTGCATGAGGCCTGGCCTCTGGTCTCAGAAGGGGAAACTGAGGCTGGCACCTGCAGACACCCAGCCATGGCAGCATTGTTGTGGAAGAAATCTTGTTTTTATGAAGACCTTTACCCATCAGCATCCTCTGCTGGTACATAGAGGGTGCACTAGGGGTCCTAGAGGTGGGTCTGCAGGGAGGAGGAAGGAGCAAGCTTGCATCTTTTGTGTCTGAGTGTATGTTTGTCTTTGGCCGAGGGCCTGCTGCTCTTTCTAGCTCAAGTGCATGTAAGGCTATCTCCTTGCAGGAACTTAGCAATGTTTCCCACATGTATATGTTCACGTCTCATCCTCAGTGGAGTCTGTGTACATCCTTTTCTATGCCCAGAGGGAAGAGGTGCACACCGGTGAGTGAACGAGTACACACGCACCGTGACATGTGGGCTTCGTGCCACTGTATGCACGGCGTGCGAGCCTCTCCCGAAGTACCCCGCACAGAGTAAATATCTTCATGTCGTTTATCTTGGCTTCCGCATGTCTGTCTGTCTCAACTGCCCGCGGTCAGTGTGCGGCTCCAAGTCCTTGCCTAAACGGCCTGCCTGGAGGGTGGCCCCTGGCAGCCCTCCTCACCCTCGCACTTCAGGCTCAAGGTGGGGGGACCCAGAGGTGAGGTCACGGCCCTCCCGGGGATGGGAAATTGCCACCAAACCTCCCCAACAGAACAAAACAAAAGCTCCCTCTCCCTGACTCCTCAGGTTCTTCCTAGGGGCTCCCATCCCTCTCAACACCCCCAGCCACTCCCCTGGGCCCCCCAGCACCTCTGGCCCCCCAAGGAGGCCTCACCCTGGGAAACTGTCAGGGCTTTGCTGTTGTCACCACCAGAAAAACCAGCTTCAGCTCAGGCCTGGGGTAAAAGGCTGTGTGGTATGGGTTTGGTGGGAAGGGGGGAGCCTGCCTGGGGCCTGGGGGGAGGAGTCCAAGCTGTCTAGGGTCTCATTCTCTGTTTAACTCTTGCCTCCCCTATCCCTGAGCCCCTGCTCCACCAGACAGAGCTGTGGATATGGGTGAGATCGTGGGAAGAAAGATCTAGGAGGAAAGCCCCGAAGCCCCCCAAACTGGACAACAGTCATAAACAACTCAGCAAGCCCCCCCCCACCTTGGGTCCTCCTTTGCCCCATAACCTTGGCTTTGGAGTGCTAAGGAACTTTGGAAACCGCAAGACTTTCTCTCGAAGCCTTCATCTACCTCCCTCACTTACCCCCCATTGTCCTAAGCCCCCCAGCTTAGTGAGAGCTTTCCCAACCTGGGCAAAGCGCCCACCACAGATTACTGTCTGGGGAGGGGGCACAGCAATCACAGAGGGAGAGGAGAACAATGCAGGAGGACAGGCCTGCAGGCAGCCAGCTCTGGCCCAGACACAGCTCCCAGCACAGATAAGTCCCCTAAACCCCCCGGAGCCAGAGTCTGAGCCCCGCTGAGTCACCACAACAGCCACACTGTGGGTGGGAGACCCAGAACTGGGCTTCTCTCAACCTCCTGAGATGCTCATCCCCAACCCCAGACCCTCTCCCCTCC